ATATGTACCACAGCTTTCTTATCCATTTGTCTGCTGATGGGCATCTAGGTTGCTTCCATGTCCTGGCTATTATAAACAGTGCTGCGATGAACATTGGGGTACACGTGTCTCTTTCAGATCTGGTTTCCTCGGTGTGTATGCCCAGAAGTGGGATTGCTGGGTCATATGGCAGTTCTATTTCCAGCTTTTTAAGAAATCTCCACACTGTTTTCCATAGTGGCTGTACTAATTTGCATTCCCACCAACAGTGTAAGAGGGTTCCCTTTTCTCCACACCCTCTCCAGCATTTATTGCTTGTAGACTTTTGGATAGCAGCCATCCTGACTGGTGTGTAATGGTACCTCATTGTGGTTTTTATTTGCATTTTGACATTATCTTTTTTAGGAAGAACAGGAGAATCGTCCGAAGATGATGTGGTTGAACTTTTTGATAACCTTAGATTTTTAGAAACAAGATATACAAGAGATAATGAGAGATGACATAATCAAGACTAAATAAATATAGGAGTGGCCCAGACCTGTGAGGAGAGTGTCCTGAAGGTTAATAAACTAAGACCTGAAGAAGTGACTTAGGTCAACAAAAGGTTCTGAGAGCAATGTGCAGAGTCAGAAGAGCAGGAGAAAGGCTGGATGCCCTAGGTCACTTAGATCCCTGATAGCAGATGGTAGAGAGAAAGGAGATGCCACAGTCCCACTTTTTCTCTAACTTTACCTGCAGAAGAATTGCTCCCCTAGGAAAGGGTTCAGTAAAAACCCAACAAGCCAATAGATCTAGGCCAACAAAGAAACAAGACCAAGAGAGTTGAGGAGATAGTAATAAAGCATGTCGTTGCTTTAAATGTTTTTAATTACCCACTTACAGTGGACATGAACTTGGGCAAATTCTGGGAGATGGTGAGGGACAGGGAAGCCTGACGTGCTTCTGTCCTTGGGGTCGTGAAGAGTCGGACACGACTTGGTGACCTACCCCCTTCAAGCAAATGGAAAGGATTTATAATTAGTTGTGATGACAGTGACCACTAGGCATCTCCTGGATCTTGGAGAATAGGAAGGGTGTAAAAAGGAAGCTATTGAATGATGTATTAGTTTCCTATTGCAGTTGTAGCAAATTGCCACCAATGTGGTGGTTTAAAACAACACAAATTTATTATTTCTCAGTTCAGTAGGTCAGAAGTCTGAAATGGGTCCACTGGGCTAATGTCAAGGTGTCGGTGTTGCCGTGTTCCTTTCTAGAGGCTCTAGGGGAGATTCCATTTTCACACCTTTTCTAGTTCTAGGGGCTGCCCAGATCCCTGAGCTCTTGACCCCCTTCCATCCTCAAAGCCAGCAGTAGCTAGTCAAGTCTTTCTCACATCAGAAGTCTTTTGCTGACTCTTCTGCTTCTCAGGGTCACTACTATGCCCACCACAAGTGATAACCTGGCTTTCCAAAAAAGAGAAAGAGGTGGATTCTCAGCATTCTGCGCTGGTAATCAGCTTGATTCTTGCCCAAATTCTAGGCTCATCTGTTAAAACTGGTTAGCAAAATATGAAGGGAAGAAAGGAGGATCTTTAATAACCTGAATGGATTTGCTGAAAGCAAGCTAACCTCAATTTTAATTTTTTATTCAAGTGTATATAAATAGAAGAAACAGTGCACATTTTTTTTTTTGAAACAGTGCACATTTTATAAGCGTACAGCTTGATGTGTGCTCAGATTGTAGAAAGCAGCCCCCTGAACCTTTCTTGTGTTCAAGTCACTCACCCCATGGCCACTATGCACACTTTAAGGGAAATCTCTGTTCTGATTTCTAGTAGCATAGATTAATTTATGCTTTTATGTAAATGGACACAGAGGGTATGTCCTCTTGTATCTGGCTTGTTCACTTAATGTTCGTGAAGTGTATTCCTGGTTTTGTCTGTGGTTGTAGATGATTCATTTTTATTGCTGTGTAGTATTCCATTGTTTTCATTTAACGATTCTACTCTTGATTGGCATTTGAGTTGTTCTGTTCTGGATTAGCCCACGCAGGTACTCTCCTTCCTTTTAGTTCTAGAGTTGATGCTGGGCCTTATTGCTGGAACTAGCCTACTTCTCTAGGTGTCCATGGAGACTAGGTTTCATGACCATTGAGGAGCATCTCTTTAGATAATTATAGGAGTGGCTTCTTCCTCCAAAGTAGGGGTCAAAGCAGGAATGGAGGGGCACCTGAGTTAAGGGTCCGAGGTGATTTTCAGGCCATCTTCCTATGGACTTGGCCCAGCGTTGGGTGGAGACTGAGTTGTACCTAGAGGTAGGAGGGTAGGGCATCCCTGATCCTTGAAGTTAAATGTCCTTGTCCTTATATTATCCTAACCCCAGGTCTCACCCCACCCACTTCCCTGCCTCTGAAGCAGGAGGTCGGGCTCCACTTCAAGAAGAGTGCACTTGGCTGTGCTCCGGGGCCACCGGTCAGCTGTATCCGCCACGGGTGGGGACAAAGAGCTCAGTCAGCACTGCTGCCTGCGGGGCCGTTTCCTGCTCTCATGGCCAAGAGGCCCTGCAGGCAGCTGAGCGCTGGGGAAGATGAGAGCTGGTGCTCTTTCCAGAGGATTCCCTCCTTCATTCAAACGGAGCCTCCCATGCTTGATGCAGAGAGCAGATCAGGGGGTGATGGTGGGTCCGTGGCTGAGAACAAAGGCTCAGGAGTCGGGGAGGAGGAAACACTGGTTGTCAAAGGAAGGCTACGAGTGGATGGATATGGAAGTAGACTAGAGAAGCTATAGGGATTAAAATGTAAGCGATCCCTGAAAATTTTCTTTTCAGAATTTGCTGTAGTAAAGGGTAATGGGTCGGCTTTTCCCTGTCTAGCTCCCTGGACAGAGCTGAGAACAGAACCTGGTGGCATGTGGCTACAGACTGACTCAGAGCTAGAGCCAGTCCCTTAAGCCTCCTGCCCATCCCAGTTTGGTGTTGGCCCCCTGGTGATGCTGAGGGCTAACCGTGAATTTTTTTTTCTAATTAAAAAAAACATTGTCCGCATTGGGTCTTCGTTGCTGTGTGGGGGCTTCTCTCTAGTTATGGTGCTCGGATTTACTGCCCGGAGGCATGTGGGATCTTAGTTCCCCAACAAGGGATCAAACCCACATCCCCTGCATCGGGAGGCAGATTCTTTACCGCTGGACCGCCGGGAAAGTCCCTAACTGTGCATTTTAATTATGGGGTCCTGTTCCTTTGTGAATGTGGCAGCTCCAGGTGTCCCGGGTGTTTGCAATCCAGCCTGGCTCAAGTTGTGTTTGTGTGTCAGCAGCAGAGCCTGAGGGTGAGGGGTGGAGGTTACAGGGTGCAGAGAAGTGGGATGAGGGCTGCTGAGTGGCTGGCGGCAGAAGCCAGTGGGGAGTGAAGGATGAGTGACTGGCTGAGGGGGACCAGCAGGTCTGAAAGGCTTGGCCATTCTGTGGGGGTGCTTGTGGCGACTGCACACTCGTGCCTTTAATTATTAACTTAACACTGCATTGGCCTGGAGTTACGGGTGCATTTTTGCCCAGCCCTGTGATAAGGTTTGGTTGTTCATTGTCTTGTTTATTAGGGACAGGAAAGCCCCCTTTCTGGAAGAACAGAAAGAGACTTGGGCAGTGAGGGAGGGGGAGACAGAAGGTGAGACGGCTTGGTTGCTTTTTCCTGCCCCTCAGGAGGAAGTAGTCCTGGGCCAGAGTGTGTTGAGACCAGGACACAAAAAACCAGGATGGCTGGGGACCCTAAGGGCCACACCACCGCCAGGATGGAGACAGGGAGTCCGTGGGGCTGAGCTGGGGGCCAGAAGCAGGCAAGTGCAGCGCTTTCTCTCTGGGAAGGCAGCCCTCCTCCTGCTGCCCCAGTTGCTAAGCTGGGAAGGAGGGAGCAATGCCCGGATCCGGGATCTGCTGTACTGCAGCGGAAAGCTATGGGGTATGTGCTTACCTGCTTGTTTAAGAGGTTATGGGGGGAGTGGTTGAGGGACATTCTGTTGAATTTCAGAATTGTCTCTTTTGATTTTCTTCATGCCGCCCCCCCCCCCCCCCACCACATCCTGGGGCTACTGGTCAACCTCACAGCCTGTGTGGGCTTCCGCTCTAGAATTTCTTCTTCTGAAGTAGCAGATTATAGGTGTTTTTGTGGGAGGGGGATAGTGGATTTCTTTGATATTCTGATGGAAGTTATGGACCCTTTTTCTTAGAGAAATGCATATACTTTGGACATATGAACATAACACTTTACAGAGAATTCCAGGCCTTGTGGAAGCCCTAGGTTAAGAACCCTGGCTCTAAGGGCAATTCATGAACTTTGCCAGAGCTCTTTCAGGTAAAGAGTTTGCCTCTACCTCAGGGTGGAAGGACTTGAGGAATGTCCATGGCTCTGACTTTTGCATTGTCCAGTCAGGAAAAATGCCCCATTCCCTTTGTATAGGAACCTGTTTCAAGAATCTTTCCAAGTGTGAAAACAAGCAGCTGAACAGGCCAGCAGAGGCAGGAAGTCTGGCCTCCAGCCTAATCCTGGTCACACATCCTGACCTGCTGGCCCAGACACTGGATAAGTTACAGCAGGGCTCATCAAGGTTAACAGTGATCCACAGCATCAGAGTGTTTATTCCTAGGCCCACATAAGGGGCTACGGGGCTGGAGATGGGGAAGAGACTGTGACTTTTCAGAGCCAACAGCCAGAACACATCACTAACCCTGTTCCGCCACCAGTTGCTTCCTATTGCTGTGAGCACATTTGTGTGTAAGCAGATCCAGTCACTTTGTATCTCTTATATAAGTGCTGAGTGTATGTGTGTGTGTGTGTGTGTGTATTGCTGTGCACCCAGGTGCTCAGCAAGTGCCTGTGAATGATAATGGTGAGGAAATTTTGGGCAGAGATTTCCACTGCAGAGCAGGTCAGAGCCCAGACACCTCTTTGACCAAAGGGTCTGTTTTGGTGATGGGTACTAGAAAAATTGCTTGGGGGCTCTAAGGCCCTCTGGATGGTAGGGTCAGTCACCAATCAGCATTATTTTTCTTTCAGGTCTCTTAACCTTCATTAACTGTGCCTATGTCAAGTGGGGAACCCTGGTACAAGATGTTTTCACCTATGCTAAAGTATTGGCCCTGATCGCCATCATCATCGCAGGCATCGTTAGACTTGGCCAGGGTAAGAAATAATAGTAACTGCAACTCAGCGTTTGTTAAGCGTTTTCCATGAGCTGTACCCTTCTCAGTAGCCTTTGTGCATGATTTCATTTAATAGGTAGTTATTATTCCCTTTTATTTAGGCCATGCCCCACAGCTTGAGGGATCTCAGTTCCTCCACCAGGGATTGAACCTGTGCCCTCCGCAATGGAAGCTCAGAGCCCTAACACCTGGACTGCCAAGAAATTCTCTCAAGTCCCTAGCTTAAGTGCATGCATGGGTGCTCAGTCGTGTCTAACTCTTTGTGACCCTATGGATTGTAGCCCGCCGGGTTCCTCTGTCCATGGGAGTCTCCAGGCAAGAACACTAGAGTGGGTTGCCATTTCTTTCTCTAAGGGATCTTCCTGATCCAGGGATCAAACTTGGGTTGCTTGTACTGCAGGTGGATTCTTTACTATCTGAGCTACCAGGGAAGCCCCAGCTTAAACAGTGGAGCTGAAATTGGTACCAGGCAGACTGACCCCAAAGCCTGTCCTGTCGTGTCTATGCATGCTGCCTCCCAGGGGAGGTTGATCTTGAGCCGGCTTTTGCAGATTGTCGAGCCCAGTGCCATGGCAGTGACTGTTCTGCCCCTGGGAGTGGGCATGGGCAGAGATGAACCCGTGGTACTCGACGCTTCTCCGTTTCCAGGTGTGAACACCTGTTCTATAACTGCCCTGTTGACTGGGCGCACTGAACCCTGCCTTCCTCCACTCCGTGTCCGCTGTGCGGTTAGGAGGGGAGCAGGCAGAACTGCATCACTCCTGTTCTCTAGCCCTTGTGCTCTGTTGTTCCTTACCCTAGAAATTCACCAGGGCCCTTCCTGTTAAGATCTGGCTGCTGATCCCTGCACTCCGGCCCATTTCTGTAGGTGTCTCTCTTCTGCTCCCCATTCCTTCACTGGTACCCTTCCTGCTAAGGTGTTCTAAACCACAGGCACCCTGTTACTGTCATATTCTTCCTCTCCCTTACTGAATCACCTTGTAGTTGGGGTACAGGCCACTAATCCTTCTGCCTTTCTGTGTTCTCTGGGTTCCAGGAGCCTCAACTCACTTTGAAAATTCCTTTGAGGGTTCATCATTTTCAGTGGGTGACATTGCTCTGGCACTGTACTCAGCTCTGTTCTCCTACTCTGGCTGGGACACCCTCAACTATGTCACTGAAGAGATCCAGAACCCCGAGAGGTAGGTACTTCACTATCAACTTTCCACAGCGATGTCATTTACTGAACTCCTACTATGTGCTGATGGCATACTACAACTGGTCAGTTTTGTCAGCATCATTTTGACAGGCCTGAGGCTGGACAAATAACTGGTCCATGATCATAGTAACAGTGCCAAGAGGTGAACTTTCTTGTACTAAAAAAAAATTTTTACAGGGCTTTTCACATTTGTTCATGCATTTCAGCATTAATCAAAGTAGGTTGTATCATGTGCTTGTGTGTGTGTTTTTTAATTAAAAAAAGACTTTTCTTGATAGATTTTCACACATCCTTATTCCTATAACTTTAGGGTCACAGACCAGCAGAAACCTTTTCCTTCTGATCTCATGTTTTTCAAATTCGTGACTTAGTATTGTTTGTTTCAGGATGTCACTGAATTGTCCTGTAGTCACGGAGTGAAAAGAACACTGGGCAGGAAGTCAGAGGGCCTGGATTTGTCTTTCCACTGATTTGCTGGGTGACCTTGAGGGAATTCCCTGCCATCTCTGCCTGCTCCCTACTTATAATTGAGGGGGTTGAACTATATGACTTTCAGAGCCTTTCCTGGCTCTAAAATTTAGTGACTGTAGGAACTAAGATTTGTCAGGAAATGAGGTTTCTGAAATTTTTAAGTTAAAATAATAATAAACTCCTTTTGGCTTTGAGAAACAAGGGTATTCTTGATATATATACATCTAGTGTTGCAACCCTGGGAGCAGATAATAGCTGATGAAGGCCTGGGTGGTGCTTCCACCTACTGGACAGAAGCTGAATGACTTGAATATTTGCCCCTCTACACCCTGCCGGCTCCAAGTCTCACTGCAAAGAACATTTATAAAGATCATGGCTTATTTTGGGCCAGAGGGACTATGAGCTATCTTTAAGTCTTTCTCTTGGCCAAGGGCTAGGGTAGCACTCAAGGTTCTCAAATTGACTAAGGGAGTGGGGCGGACATATTTCTAATTGCTTGTTCAGGTACACATATTGTTCTTACTGAGGGCGTCTTACTCTTTAGAGAGGTTAAATTTCACAATTTCCCTCCATAATTTCTTTTCTATTTAACCTTAAGACAAATTTTCCAGTGTTGATAATCTTGGAGAAGGAAGCCTGATGCTAAGAAACCTGTAGAGTAAAACAAAACCAAACCTTCCTTTGCTGTTATCACAGTGACATGGTTGTTAATCCTTTCCCCTTTTTTTCGTGTAGGCCTTTCTCTGAATGTTGTATTTCTTCCACCTGATGCTCTTTAGTGCTTGAGTTTAAGCTGCTCTCCTACTTAAAGGCAAAAGCACTGGGGGAATGCCTAGGAGGCCCCAGCTCTGGATTGGTGCACGCAGTCTAAGAATCAAAGGGCAATGGGGATGAGACTGGGACTAATGGATCCACTGTTCTGTTTGGCTGCAGGAATCTGCCCCTCTCCATTGGCATTTCCATGCCCATTGTCACCATCATCTACATCTTGACCAATGTGGCCTATTACACTGTGCTTGAAATGAGGGACATCCTGGCAAGCGATGCTGTTGCTGTGGTAAAGGATTTTCACTAGCAGAAGGGTGAGGGTGTGTTTGTGGGCTTTGGGGTATCATGTTGCTCCTCAGAGTCCCAGAAATCCGGTAGTCCTTGGAGTATGCTTAGGGCACTGGGCTTGCAAGGTCCCGTTAGCCATACTATGTAAGAAGGGTTGGGCTGCCAGCAGAGGGACCTGCTTGTCCTTGCCTTCCATCTCTGTTGGGCCTGCTAATGACTGCTCTCCGTTCCTTCCCCTTAGACTTTTGCAGACCAGATTTTTGGAATATTCAATTGGACCATTCCGTTTGCGGTTGCATTATCCTGCTTTGGTGGCCTCAATGCCTCCATCGTGGCTGCGTCTAGGTATGAGTGTCTTCTTTTACTGAGTATTGTGAAGAGCTGTGGCAGGGCCAGACTTAAAGGACCCACTTGAGCCACCATGCTCCCCAAATGATAGTCAACCCTTTGGCCCCATTCCCATCAGCAGCCTCCAGTGCTCACACATCTTGGTATTCAACTTCTTTCCAAATTAATCAAACCCTTTTGATGGAGGGAAGGACTTGTGGCATATGAACCCAGCCACACCCATGTCCCCCAGGTTTTTCAGCCTCTCCCATCTTACCCAAAATAGGCTTTTCTTTGTGGGCTCGAGAGAAGGCCATCTCCCTGATACCATCTGCATGATTCATGTGGAGCGGTTCACACCAGTGCCAGCTCTTCTCTTCAATGTAAGTGATCTCAAGACTGGGCTGAAAGCCAGGTAATGGGGAAACTTTAGTAACAGTAGATACAACTGTTCTAGTTTCCAAGAAGCTCTAAATATTCTAATAGAAAAACTATTAGTGGGCCATTCACCAAGGGGAAGGTAAGGCACTGTGCTAACTGCTGCAGTGGTTCTGAAGAGAATCCATCTTCTCTAAGGAATGGTGAGGCATAATGGTCATGGAATACATTGTAATGACTGCTGTGGCAGATAATGATGTAGTGTTTATGGGGAGAAATGGTCATTTCTGTAGGGGTAGAAGTGAAAGAACAAAGACTTTGGAGAATTTGAAATGGATCTTCAAGTTTAGGGTTGCAAATATCGATGGGCTTTAGGTTAGACAAATGGCATCAGCAATCTGGAGGTGTAGAGTTAGGCAGTAGAAGGTAAAAGCTGGAAGTGTACGTTGGAGCCATTCTGGAGAGGTTCTGGGGCAAAAGCTATTTGAGGAACTGTTTTGAGCTGTGCTGTATAGAGGATTAAGCTGGCAAGGTTTTGAAGAACGGGCTGAAAAAGGCTACTGACTTGATAGGAAATGAATGAAGTTAAGGTGGCAAATGGGGTGGGAACAGAAAAGGACAGTTGGAGAAAGGGAGGACTCAACAAGGGGGTGGATCTGTGGGATAAAGGGGACTGGAAACTGCTTTGCGTGACAGAGGCTGACAGGAGCTGACATGGGCTTGTGCCTACAGGGTCTCATGGCGTTGATCTACTTGTGTGTGGAGGACATCTTTCAGCTCATTAACTACTACAGCTTCAGCTACTGGTTCTTCGTGGGGCTCTCTATTGTGGGTCAGCTTTATCTGCGCTGGAAGGAGCCCAACAGGCCTCGTCCTCTCAAGGTAGCTCCTCTCCATTCCACCTTTGCTGCACCTGCTCCAGGGACTGACACCTACTCAGAAACCTCTGCCCAGAACTGTGGGTGGTACTCATTGAAATAAATGAAGGGGATGACAGGAAGGCTCAGTACTCTGCTCTACAGGAGTAGGGGGTTATCGTGGCTGTCGACTCTGACCTGTTTAACCTCCAATTGTTTCTTCTGTGCCCTTAGCTCAGCCTGTTCTTCCCCATTGTCTTCTGCCTCTGCACCGTCTTCCTGGTGGCTGTCCCACTCTACAGTGATACCATCAATTCTCTCATCGGCATTGGCATTGCTCTCTCAGGCTTGCCCTTTTACTTCTTCATCATCAGAGTGCCAGAACACAAACGACCTCTTTGCCTCCGCAGGATTGTGGGTAAGCCTTGGATCCTCAGGTCAGCTCAGCTATGGTACAGCTTGGGATTGTTCCTTTTTGCTTTCTTCTTCTGCAGCTCTTACTCTTCCAAGCCGCCTTTGCCACAGCCCCTACCTGTTGTTGAGGTTTAACTGCGATTGTGCCCTTGGGCCCAGCCCCATTCAGTGCTGCCTGGACTCAGTCCAGCTGACTTGCTCTTCTCAGTTCTGACTCAGACCTCTCTTTGCAGCCTCTGTCACGTGGTACGTCCAGGTCCTCTGTATGTCAGTTGCTGCAGAGATGGATTTGGAAGATGGAGGAGAGCAGTCCAAGCAACAGGATCCCAAGTCTGAATAACCACAAGAAATTTCAAGATGTGGAAAGCAGAGGCTTTTATCTCCTGCAGGCTGGAGGCAAGGAAGTTGAAAAGGAAAGCTCACTTATTTGGAGACACCTGTCCAGAAGCCTCTTAGGCAGCTTCAGCAACCTCTGAACTTGCTTTCTGAGAGATGGAGAGTAATTTATTTGTTTTGCTACACATTATTCCAGGTTTCTTTAAAGGGACATAAAACAGACTGTGATGGGAAGCATGCTAGGTGTGAGCTGGGATGTTCCAGTGGTGCGCTCCCATGTGTGAAGATATCCACTCACGGCCACTGTGCCTGCCCACTACTTCTCTTCCACTGGAAAATCCAACAATGCTTTAACTGCCTGTCACCTTTACAGACATGAAACGGTCACAGGTGCTAGACAATAAAAGGGTATGCTTCTAAACTCTGAGCGGCTTCATTGTTTTAATACGTGTCTTAGGGATAGTTTCCATGAGCCAGGCAGGAAGACTAAAAACAATCTTATATTAGAAATAATCTGAGTATTTCTCCCCCCTTAAGCCAGTTGCTGAAGGCTGATGCAACCAGCCTCTACACAAGAGAACACCTATGCTGCTGCAGCAAAATGCTGGGTTATTTGCTAAAAGCTGTATCAACTTCTGTTCCTCTTACCACTAAGAACTTGAGCATATCTACTTCTTGAAGGATATTTTATAGGTAATCTTGGGATAAGTGAATGTGGTTCCTCCATATACATTCTCCACTTATCAGGCATACAACTCTGACTACAAAGCAAATATGGGCGTGACAACACATCTAGCCCTTAAGGCCAGGTTACAACAGATGCCTCCTAAGATCGTGGGCCAGCAAGAGCAATCATCACCCGAGCTATTCTTTCTGAAGCACGCAATCTGTTTCCCGGTTTAATAAGTGTTAGGAAGCAGTGTGTAGCACAGAGGTTTACTAACTCTGCGGATGGGAATCACCTGGCCCCCAGGGTTCTTTCACACTTAGGTGGAACAGTGTAGTGGAATCCAATTTTAAAATGAACATCAACATGTCCCACAGTTTCTAGGTCTGGCGTAAAGACCCAGCATGAAACCGCGTTCGAAGGCTGAGTCTCTGAAGAGACAGTTCCCGCCAGTGTGAGCAGGCAGCAGAGGTCAGCCAAGCGTGTCACGCCAGGGCTGCTTTGACTTTGCTTTGCTGCTGCTGCTGCTGGGGGCGTTGGGAGGGTCATTCTTTCCGTGCGGCAGCAGAGGGTTGTGGGCAAACGTCTGTCGTAACGGGCCTGGGGAAGAAGAGAAGACAAATCCTGATAAACGAAGAAAAGGAAGAAACAAATGACAGAATTTAGCCTGGAAGGGTTATTTACCCCTGGCAGCGAGCTCCAAGTGGTTCTGCATGCGTCGTTCCCGCTCCTGTAGCTGATGGGCCATTTCGGCATTCTTCCAGCCTGTGTAAAGAAAGGGGAGGAAGACCATTGGTCCTGCACCCATTTCGAGACTACAGTCCCCCGTCCTTTTCACAGAGGGTGGGCCCTTACCTTGTCTGAAGCTCTTTATGAAGCCTTCCCGTGGAGGTAACTTGTCTGGGTCGTGCACAACACGTTGGGGAATTTTCAGCACAGTGCGAACAGCAGGAATACGGAGACAGGCCACCTGGCCCAGGGAAAACATGTTGGAGGAGAGCCAGTACATGAACACTGCCTGGATGAGAAGAGAAGGCACTCAGAAGCTGCGTCTCTGGGCAGCTTGCTGGCAGACTTGAAGCCAGCCCCTAAGCCATCACCTACCGTGGGGAAATGGACAGTTATGGGCAAGACTGCCAGGGGCATTAGTCTGATAAAATTTCTCATCCACTGAAGGTCAGAACTTTGCATGCCAGTTTCAGCACCTAACTGGGAAAAAAAAGAAAAAGCAAGGGGAGAACATGCATTTGACAAGCAAATGTATGTCAGTTTTCATTGATCCTGGCTCAGATCTCTTACCCATCAGTTCTCTCTCTCCAGGGAGTGAAGAATGACCATTCTATACAACTGCTTTCCTTTCACTCCCCACTCTACAGGACAGGCACTTGGCGAACCTGGGCTTACCTCAAGGACAGCCCACATTGTAGCTGTGACCACCAGAGGTAATACGTAGATGGGGTCGGATAGTGTGAGATCCTGGAACCACCAGAGACCACCTGTCTGCAGGCTGGGCACAGGAAGGTTGGCCATTTCTCTCAAGGCAATGAAGAAGGAGATGAAGATCGGGGCCTGTGACACAGGATAAACAGTGTCAGGACTCTAGCAGAAGGGACATTTTATTTACTCCATTACTGAAACCCATAATGGGTTTATGTAGCATAATATCACCACCAACCTGCTTTCAGGGTCTAGGGCATGGGAAACACAGAGGAGGTAATCTGATTTTTTATTTTTATTTTATTTTATTTTTGATTTTTTATTTTTGTTGCTGTTGTTTCTCTTAATCTGTTTCTGAAGTTAGAGGGGAAATGTTTTTTGCTCACCTGAGTCAGTGGTAGAATGAGAGGTCTAAAGAGTTTAATATCATGCTTTTTCTGGTAGAAAGTCATCTCTGAGGAGGCCCTGTAAACTGGGAAGGGAGTGGAAGTTAATGGTTGGTGGAGGTGACCACCCTCATAACCTGGCCCACGAGTCAGATCTAACTGACCCTGGCCAGGCACTGGAAGCATTAGGCCCAAGAAGCAGGTATATCTTAGAACCTGCCCAACTGTAGTAACTCCCAATTTGAGTTGTCCCCCCCACACCCACTGCCCCCTCCCCGCCCCCAGTTCTATGTAGGGAAAACAGGTCCTCTCCCATGCTTATTCTGCAACTGACTCACATTCTGTGTGGTTTCCTGTCAACTTGGCCTCTCTGATTCGAGCGGAAAACTTCTGAATCTCTGGCAAGTGATTGTGAATCTTGGCTGCCTCTCGTTGGCCCTTCACGATGAGAGGAAACACCAGGCAGCGGGCAAGAACTGTGCCTGGAAACAAACTAGCAGTGGAGTGACATTCTGCATTCTCCATCAAGCCATTCTGTAGTTAGATGGCTAAGAGTTTCTCCGTCCTGCCTGAGAGGGTCTCTCACCCAGACTTTCCCACCCTGCGACTCATGCCCACAGGGCCCCAAAACAAAGGGCATGGTGTGACTCAGCTGCTTCGAGGCTTGGCCCTCTGCTTTGACATCAAAAGTCTGGCATTAACTTCTCCAAACAAATGACCAGGAATCTTATTTCCTCAAAAAGGTGACAGAAGCTCCTTTAAAGATCAATGGTTTCCAAACTTTTCTATGATTAACGGACTCCTTTTGTCCTCAGTTCTAAGTGTAACCACAATATACATAACAAAAAAAATCAAGCTGCCCTGGGTGAGGATGCTGTCTGACTGTTAAGATTGTTCAATCTCTGGAATGTGCTTTGCTCAGAAGCACTTTCACAGAACTCTGGGACTCCCAGGAATGAAATCTGAAAAATGCTGTCCTAGAAATGTCTGGAATAGGAGGTAATCAGGTGGCCTACTGCTTTAACTCTTTCCTGTTTCTTTTTTTACATTTCACATTTCTTGATTATTTCAACAAGTATTTATTTAGTTGATGGTATCTGTGATAAGCAAGTGGCCTGGGCTGAGAAGAGACGGGGAGATGCACATTTAGGCTTTATCACCACAATGATAAATGGTGTGAAGTGTACAGAGAAGGGAGCTAAGGACAGAATCGGGAATACCAGCACTAGCGGCAGGCAGAGTACCGAGCAATGGAGATGGGAGGATATGGACAGAAAGCTGCAAAAGCCAAGGGGCAGATTCCTCACTCTACCGTGGCTGACGCAGAAAGGGCAAGTATGAAAAGTGGACTAAGAAATGATATCACTGGCAGTTAGAATGAGGTGATGTAAGTCAGCCTGCTGAGGGTCACAGAACAGAGAGAAAAGCCTGCTGGGGGCAGAATACTCTTTTAAATGATAGCTATGAAGAGAAGGAGAAAGGGTAGTAGTTAAAAGTGAATTAATGATGAGGGGAAGGAATTTACCAAGAAACACACAGTATGCTTGCACACGTCTATATGTTCAAAGTAGGCAATAAAGATGGAGAAGCTGAAGACATGGGACAGAGGAGGAGGATCACTGGAGCAACGTATGGGGAGAAACATAATTTAAAGCAGTTTTAACCTTATAAGAGGAGTGATGTGAGTGTCTTCCCATCTGACCTGAACTTCCGCTCTCCTGAATCAGGCTTCATCACTGTTGCAGAGGTCCCCACACTTAAACCCTACCCCCACATTCAAAAACTTACACTTCTTATATCCTAGATGATCCAGTGGTTTTAAAATGCCCCTCAAGAAATACAGTGGAGTACATCCAAGTGTTATGAATCTCTATCACTCATTTGCATCAATTGGCTTTTCTCAGTTATAAACTTCTGCAACTATTTCCTCTATTCACACATAGAACTGCTATCTTTAAAGTTCTACCCCCAAACCCCATTTCCTCTACCCTTGTACAGATATGTTCCCCTTACATGTAGCAATGGCTCCCCACCATGGTAGGCCTAGGTTAACATGCATAAATTCAAGCAAGTTCTGGATCAGTCCCACTGGGGTGTAGGACCCCAGCCCAAGTTCAGCAAAGCTCTGCTCTGCAGCAGCTTGGATGATATCTGCGGACTCTCCAGAAGCCACTTCAGGTACTGCTGTGGGTGGGGGAGTTGCAGGAATGACTGGAGGGGCCGGAACCTGTGGGGGGAAGAAAGTCATGTATTATATTCAGTCCCTAGAGGAGGAAATGGCAAACCACACTAGTATTCTTGTCTGAAAAATCCCATGGACAGAGGAGCCTGGCAGGCTACTGTCTAAAGGGTCACACAGAGTTGGATATGGCTAAGCGACTAAGCACATTATATTCAGCAGAGGGCAGACACATAGAAAACGAGGTCCCTCTTACAATAACCAACACTGGGGTACTCTCTGGACTCCCTAGTTCTTGTTCTCCTGTGGTAGCCTATACTCTCCAAAGAATCCAAAGCTTAAAAAGGACATTTGATGTCAGGATGTCAATTAAAAAATTTATTATTTTTCTGGGTTTTATGATGCTTATGGTATTTGTCAGTTTTTCAAAAAATATTACTTTGAAAACGTTACTTATTTTAAATACATATTCCTGTTCATGATTTTTAAAAAAGGATATTTTATTTTGCCCTCTAAGCAGGAAGATGTTACTCAGAATAAGACTTAATCACTCTCCTTCATGTGAGGAAGTTATTTCTTATATTAGTATTTTCCAAACTTCAGTTGCATGAGTATCACTGGCACGACTTTGTGTACACTGAAACTATTATAATTTTTCTTTAAACAACTCAGTTTTTAAGATGATATCTACTTGGTGCTGAGAAATATTAATGTCAATGAAATCAGGGATGTGCAAGTTGTAATTGTGTAAACTGAAAAAATGTACAACCTCAAAATTGAGAATTGTATTTTATTTGGGACATTACTGAGGACTTAAGCCCAAGACACAGCCTCTCAGCTCTGAGGAAGGAGTCAGGATATGCAAGAGTTTCTGCAAAACAAACAACCCCAAAAAACGACGTAGTCAAACACCAAAAGATTACTGCTAATTAAAGAAAAACCAGGTGTCTCAAGTAATGAATTTAGTACTTTTCTATGTATGGAAAGCTACAAGAATCTGGGCTTATTGAAATCATTCCTTTGATATATACTTTAACTTTCCAGGGCCAGTATTCTGCTTTTCCATCCTGAATCCCCTCAGGATGCACTACAGGGGTGGCTGCAGTGGCTGATGGCCCCAATATAAGTTGGGAGGCATTATGACTAGTTTTGTCCCGTGGCACTAGGAAGGCTGATGTGTAGATCTGGCAAAGATTCTGCTGATAGGCCACTCAAAGTGCTAGTTTTGGATCAGGCCCTGTTGATAATCTAAAATTCTCTAGATTGCCTGTGGAAGACTGCTATGTGGAAGAAAAATGCTGCCTGCCATATAAGTAAACAAAGGATGCAGAGTCATCAGCCACCCTCAACTGTATACCCTGAGGGGATTCAGAATGGAGAAAAACAGAATATTGGTGCTATATAGTTAAGGTGCTTATCAAAGCAATGATTTCAACAAGCCCAGACTCTTATATCAGTCTATACACAGAAAAGTGCTAAATTTACCAACTTGCGATATCTACTTTTTCTTTAATACTAATATATATACATATTTTTAATCTTTCAATGTTCTGACTACCTGTTCCCCGCCACCTCCCCAAACTTCCATATATCCTGGCTCCTCCTTTACCTCTTTGGAACAGTCCCTCAGAGGTTATCTGAGAGGCAGTCTTCTAGGCTTAAGTCCTTAGCAAGTTCACTGAATAAAACATAATCTTCAACTTTTAGGTTGAACATTTTTTACAGTTAACAAATTTGGTGACAAAAGGATCCAGAATATACCCCTCTCCTTCACCTGAACTCTACGAGGACCTAGGGCCTCACACTAGCAGAGGCCTCTTGGGATTGTCTGCCTCCTTGGAGAGTCCAGACAATTAGGAGGATTCTTGGATCTCCTGACTATTGGCTGATGATTCTGAGTTTTATTTGGCAGATGACACCACCCTTATGGCAGAAAGTGAAGATGAACTAAAAAGCCTCTTGATGAAAGTGAAAGAGGAGACTGAAAAAGTTGGCTTAAAGCTCAACATTCAGAAAACTAAGATCATGGCATCTGATCCCATCACTTCATGGGAAATAGATGGGGAGACAGTGGAAACAGTGTCAGACTTTATTTTTTTGTGTTCTAAAATCACTGCAGATGGTGACTGCAGCCATGAAATTAAAAGACGCTTACTCCTTGGAAGGAAAGTTATGACCAACCTAGATAGCACATTAAAAAGCAGAGACATTACTTTGCCAACAAAGGTCTGTCTGGTCAAGGCTATGGTTTTTCCAGTGGTTATGTATGGATGTGAGAGTTGGACTGTGAGGAAAGCTAGCGCCGAAAAATGGATGCTTTTGAACTGTGGTGTTGGAGAAGACTCTTGAGAGTCCCTTGGACTGCAAGGAAATCCAACCAGTCCATCCTAAAGGAGATCAGTCCTGGATGTTCATTGGAAGGACTGGTGCTGAATCTGAAACTCCAATACTTTGGCCACCTCATGCGAAGATCTGACTCACTGGAAAAGACCCTGATGCTGGGAGGGATTGGGGGCAGGAGGAGAAGGGGACGACAGAGGATGAGATGGCTGGATGGCATCACTGACTCGATGGGCATGAGTTTGAGTAAACTCTGGGAGTTGGTGATGGACAGGGAGGTCTGGTGTGCTGTGATTCATGGGGTTGCAAAGACTCGGACACGACTGAGCGACTGAACTGAACTGAACTGACTGAACTGGTACCTGGCTCCCCAGCTGAAAGATACTAGGGGAGCCCAGATGAAAGATAGGCAGTTGCTAAGTAGAGACACTGAGCAGTCTAAACTGGGTATTAGATGAGAGGCTAGCCTAACATCTTTGCCTCCAACTAACACTGTAGCCAAATCTATGTATGTTCAAAACTTATACTTACAAGTGCTCACTTAATTGGGAATTAAAGGAAATCTTGCCCTGCAAATGGCCAATATGGGGCTCTTTTATTGCATTTGCAGTTAAGTTTGACCAACTTGGATAACCACAATGGTGTGATCACTCATGTAGAGCCAGACATCCTGCAGTGTGAAGTCAAGTGGGCCTTAGGAAGCGTTACTACAAATAAAGCTAGTGGAAGTGATGGAATTCCATTTGAGTTATTTCAAATCCTAAAAGATGATGCTATGAAAGTGCTGCACTCAACATGGCAGCAAATTTGGAAAAACTCAGCAGTGGCCACAGGACTGGAAAAGGTCAGTTTTTATTCCAATCTCAAAGAAGGGCAATGCCAAAGAATGTTCAAACTGTACAACTGCACATATTTCACATGCTAGCAAGGCAATGTTCAACATCCTCCAAGCGAGGCTTCAACAGTACATGAACTGAGAACTTTCAGTTGTACAAGCTGGATTTAGAAAAAGCAGAGGAACCAGAGGTCAAATTGCCAACAACCAGAGGTCAAATTGCCAACATACGCTGAATCACAGAAAAAGCAAGGGAATTCCAGAGACACATCTACTTCTGCTTCATTGACTACGTTAAAGCCTTTGACTATGTGGGTCACAATAAACTGCAGAAAATTCTTAAAGAGATAGGAATACCAGAACATCTTACCTGCCTCCTGAGAAACCTGTATGCAAGTCAAGAAGCAATAGTTAGAATGGGACATGGAACAACAGACTGGTTAAAAACTGGTAAAGGAGTACGTCAAGGCTGGATATTGTCACCCTGCTTATTTAACTTCTATGCAGAGTACATCATGTGGAATGCGGAACTGGATGAAGCTCAAGCTGGAATCAAGACTGCAGGGAGAAATCTAAATAACCTCAGATATGCAGACGACTCCACCCTAATGGCAGAAAGTGAAGAGGAACTAAAGAGCCTCTTGATGCAGGTCAAAAGGGAGAGTGAAAAAGCTGGCTCAAAACAACATCATAAAAACTAAGATCATGGCATCCGGTTCCACTACTTCATAGCAAATAGATGGGGAAACAATGGAAACAGTGACAGACTTTATTTTCTTGGGCTCCAAAATCACTGTGGACAGTGGTGGCAGCCATTAAATTAAAAGATGCTTGCTCCTTGGAAGAAAAACTATGACAAATCTAGACAATGTATTAAAAAGCAGAGACATCACTTTGCCCACAAAGGTCCATATAGTCAAAGCTATGGTTTTTGCAGTAGTCATGTACAGATGTGAGCGTTGGATCATAAAGAAGGCTGAGTGCCAAAGAATTGATGCTTTTGAACTGTGGTGCTAGAGAAGACGCTGAAAGTCCCTTGGACAGCAAGGAGATCAAAGCAGTCAATCCTAAAGGACATCAACACTGAATATTCGTTGGAAGCACTGATGCTGAAGTTGCAATACTTTGGCCACCTGATGTGAAGAGTCAACTCACTGGAAAAGACCCTGATTCTGGGAAAGACTGAGGGCAAGAGGAAAAGGGGGTGACAAACAATCAGATGGTTGGATGGCATCATCGACTCAATGGATATGAGTTTGAGCAAACTCCAGGAGATGGTGAAGGACAGGGAAGCCTGGCATAGTGCAGTTCATGGGGTCACAAAGAGGTGGACACCACTGAGCAACTGAACAAAAGACTCCTGTATCTTTCCTTACACAGAAAAGTGCTAAACTCATTAACTTGAGACACTTGGTTTTTCTTTAACAGTAATCCTTTGATGTTTCAACTACTTTTTTGTTTGTTTTGCAAAACTCCTTTATACCTCGGCTCCTCCGTCACCTCTTTGGAACAACCCCTCAGAGCTGAGAGCCTGCATCCTAGTTAAATCCTCAGTAATGCCCCAAATTCTCCAAGCCAGGCTTCAACAATATGTGAACGATGAACTTCCAGATGTTCAAGCTGGATTTAGAAAAGGCAGAGGAACCAGAGATCAAATTGCCAATTTCCATTGGGTCATCGAAAAAGCAAGAGAGTTCCAGAAAAACATCTACTTCTGCTTTATTGACTACACCAAGTCTTTGACTGTGTGGATCACAATAAACTGTGGAAAATTCTGAAAGAGATGGGAATACCAGACAACCTTATCTGCCTAGTGAGAAATCTGTATGCAGGTCAAGAAACAACAGTTAGAACTGGACATGGAACAACAGACTGGTTCCAAATTGGGAAAGGAGTATGTCAAGGCTGTATATTGTCACCCTGCTTATTTAACTTACATGCAGAGTATATAATGCAAAATGCTGGGCTGGATGAAGCCCAAGCTGGAATCAAGATTGCCAGGAGAAATATCAATACCCTCAGATATGCAGATGACACCACCCTGATGGTAGAAAGCAAAGAAGAACTAAGGAACCTCTTGATGAAAATGAAAGAGGAGAGTGAAAAAGTTGGCTTAAAGCTCAACATTCATAAAACTAAGATCATGGCATCCAGTCCCATCACTTCAGGCAAATATATGGGGAAACAATGGAAACAGTGAGAGACTTTATTTTTTGAGGCTGTGAAATCACTGCAGATAGTGACTAGAGCCATGAAATTAAAAGACGCTTGCTCCTTGGAAGAAAAGTTCCAACCTAGACAGCATATTAAAAAGCAGAGACATTACTTTGCCAACACAGGTCCGTCTAGTCAAAGCTATGGTTTTTCCAGTAGTCACGTACGGATGTGAAAGTTGGACTAAAAAGAAAGCTGAGCACCAAAGAATTAATGCTTTTGAATTGTGGTGTTGGAGAAGACTCTTCAGAGTCCCTTGGACTGCAAGGAGATCCAATCAGTCCATGCTAAAGGAAATTAGTCCTGAATATTCACTGGAAGGACTGATGCTGAAACGCCAATATTTTGGCCACCTATTTGAAGAACTGACTCATTGGAAAAGACCCTGATGCTGGGAAAGATTGAAGGCAGGAGGAGAAGGGGCCGACTGTGGATGAGATGGTTGGATAGCATCACTGATTCGATGGATATGAGATTGAGTAAGCTCTGGGAGATGGTGATGGACAGGGAAGCCTGGCGTGCTGCAGTCTATTGGGGTTGCAAAGAGTCAGACACAACTGAGCGACTGAACTCAACTGAATGCCCCAAATAAGACACAACTCTCAACCTTTATGTTGTGCTTTTTTTCCCCCCAGTTGACAACTCATGTCACTTACCTTTATTTTTTTTCGCAGCACCATGTGCCTTGTGGATTTCATAACTTACGAAAATATCACCAAGTTATTATTTTTTCTTGCTGAAAATTCTGCCAAAGAATATGAACTTACTGACTTTTACTAAACCTAGGTAGAATAAAGGATATGTCTAACTGATTAAGCCAGCATGCTTAAGCTAGCTTTAACACCAGATATTAATTTACTATTTCCTAGATCACATGAACCTGAAATTCATTCTGGCCAGTTTCCTTTATATTTAGAAATAGTTAATTTGTTAAGCACTTACTTTAAAGTAAATTAAATAGAGGCCTTTTATAAATTTAATTTTGAAAGTATATCCAGAGGTAGTGACATCTTATATGTGTAGTGTATATATAGACATACAAACAGACAAAACTAGAGACCTCATAGTTTCATTAAAATAGTTATGTGGAGAAGGAAATGGCAACCCACTCCAGTATTCTTGCCTGAGAAATTCAATGGACAGAGAAACCTGGGGGGATTACAGTCCATGGGGTCACAGAGAGTTGGACACAACTTAGCAACCAAAAAAAAAAACAAACTTAAGTTATGAATCAAGTATTAATAAACTTACTAGTTTAGGGGTTATATTTACATTTCTGATTTGTAGAGATTTTCAAAACAAAAATAGTTGCTTTTAATTTCCCAAAGAGCTGGTCAATTGCCTAAGTGATACTAAAAGATTGATTTGCCCAACTAAATTTTCTTTGTCGTTTTTTTAATCACTGACTTCCAACTAAACTGTAAATCAAGAGTTCAACATTATAGAACTTTAGGGTTCAATTTACTATGTCTTCTAAAGTTTTTATAAGGCATTCAACAAAGGCCCTCTTTCTGAGTGCACCAGTTAGACCAGAGCAAATCTCTATTGCTATTTTTGTTAGCCCTGGAACATCAGCTCCCAGTTTTTACTTTATGTTGTGTGTGCTCTAGTAACTGTACTGGTTTCCTTTAGTATGCTTAATTAATACAGTCTGAGGGGCAGATTTATATGCCCTGTCCTGTAACAGCAGGCAGGGGAATGAGACATGATGTCTATCTTACAATAAGGCAAAAGAGATATAATCATCTTACATAAGCCCATTTAAATATACCAGATAAATTTTTATCTCATTTCTATCAACTTCTATAACTTTAACTTTTAGTCAAGACCACATCAAGTCTTGGTCTCAGAAGGAGTCCAGAAACTTCCTTTTTAATTGAATCACTTGATCTATTTTTGTATAAAAGGCTCTAGGTTCCCAGTGAGAGGTTGAGCCAAGGGACTCAGGCTCTTCTGTCAATTTTTTTAACTTAATCAATTGGCCTAACTGTTGTCCCAAGCAACTGTTAGTCAGATATTTCTGTGTAAGTTTCTTCTAGCCTTTAGGGGGCAGAAAATCTAATATTGGGGACCAATAATGTTGGTCCATCCAACCTAAGGTAATGTGTTGAAACCTTTTGTTTTAATCCTATTAGCATCTGTTTTATGTATCTTATTTCCTAATATAACCACTTAAAGATTTCTTTATCCATCTGGGACATGAGTTCCTTTAACATTTCCACTTCAGTGGTAAGAAGTTTCTAGACTTTCTCTTTATTTCTTAAACCTCTGTAATCAGCCTAATCAACATTAATTATCTTCATGTTTTTATTAGCATCTGTAAGACCCACTCACTGAAGGGAAACAGAAACCACAAATAAGGTTTCCCAAACATTTTAAAAAAACAAAAAAACTAAAAGAATTCTTAGGTTAACTACTGTGTGTGAGTGTGTGTGTAGTCACCTTCTGGTTTTTTCCCCCATAGGTACCAATAAAACAGCTGTATATAATGAGAACTCTGTAAAAATGTATCTATTAAGACATTTTCCCAATTTAAAAGATCAATGGTTATTTAATTATAATGGTATTTTAATTATAACTCAAATCAGTAAGACAAAAGAGGTACCCCTACAAGAAAGTGCAAAGGATGTAGCCTTCAGAAGATCTATAAAGTTTACTCCTCAAAACAGTATAAGAAAGTAAAGGTCATTGTTGTATAGGCTGATGCAACCAAGATTAAGATGACTGAAGTCCCTGAGAATTGGCATGGTCAGACAAAAGACTGCCCAGAATCTCAGTCTATTTGACTGGCTGCCAAATGTACACCATACATGTACTTTCTGGATAGCAGAAACCAACTTCTCAAAACACACACACATCAAGGCGCCTAAGATCAGGTAGGACACTTACATCTCAAAGACACAGAAAATCCAAGTTCCCTCTAGAAGGGGTTTTGCTTCTTTGTAAGGTCAGAATTCTGAAAAGATGTTTTATCAACCTGGCTTTCTCTTACTGCATACAAAATAAAAAAACCCCATACTGGCCATTTTCAGGGCAAGATTTCCTTTAATTTCCAATTAAGTACATACTTGTAAGTGTAAGTATAGAAATCGGCTGGCTTCTTGAAAAAATGTTAGACCAGCTTTTCATCTAATCACCCAGCCCAGATGGCTCAGAGTCTCTCAACTGAACAAATCCTAGTATATTTCAAATGGGGAGCCAGGTACCTACTAGACATTGCCAAATACAAGGATTAGCAACCAATAATTGGGAGATCCGAGAACCAGGAGAGACTCACCCACATTTGTCTGGACTCTCTGAGGAGGCAGATAGGCACAAGAGGTTCCTGCTTGTACCAAGGCTCCAGTTCAGGGGAAGGGGAAAACTACTCTGGGCCCCTTGGCTGGTAGCTCAAACTGCCCACTGGAAAAAAAACAAGACCTAAAAGTTGAGAATTGTGTTTTATTTGGGGGCATTACTGAGGGGCTTCCCTGGTGGTTCAGGTGGTAAAGAATCACCGTGCAATGCAGGAGACCAGGGTTTTATCCTTGGGTGGGGAAGATCCCCTGGAGAAAGGAATGGCTACCCAATCCAGTATTCTTGCCTGGAGAATTCCATGCACAGAGGAGTCTGGCAGGCTATAGTCCATGGAGTTGCAAAAAGTTGGACATAACTGAGCGACTAACACTTATTATTATTATTCAGGTCTTTTTTTTTTTTTTCTCTCCCTCCCTATTATTCAGGTCTTAAGCCTAGGACACAGCCTCTCAGCTCTGAGGGACTGTTCAGAAGAGGCAAGGGAGGAGCCAGGATATACAGGAGTTTTTCCAAACAACGCCCCCCAACCCCAGCCCAATCAGGTAATTACAACACCAAAAAAATTACTGCTAATAAAACCCAGAAGTCTCAAGTTTAGTGTTTTCTCAATTTAGTGTTTTCCTATGTATGGAAAAATGCGAGTTTGGGCTTATTGAAATCATTCCTTTGATATGTACCCTACCTGGCTACAGCCAGTATTCTGTTTCTCCATCCTCAATTCCCTCAGGGTGCACCTGTTGGGGGTGGCCACTGGGACTGCTGGCCTCAAGACCTTTTGTTTACTGATATGGCAGGTGACATTCTTTATCCACACTTGACATGCAAATTATAATTTTTCCAATATACAAACTGAATTGCATCTTATTTCACCATCAGTGGCTTGCCACCATTCTGGCAAACACCACCTTGTTTACAACATAAACTTTTCCTCTTGTGCTCTCAATAATTTTACCACTGATGTGAAAATCTATCCCAAGCAGAAATACTATCATTAAGGGAGTTGGGTGGTGTGTGGGCAAGAACATAGCTCCACATTCCCCTCCTCCCAGTCAAAGCAAAATAAAAATAAAATCTGCAAGAAGCACCATTCCTAACACTTCAGGGATGAAACGTCTCTTACCTGGGCTTCTGCAAAAGAGACGACAGAGGTACTGAGGCCGCGGGGGCCCGGGGCCATGAGCAGGACATAGCGCGGGTGCCCGCGACACCGGTCGGCTGGGAACCCGAGTACAGCTGTCAGCGGTTTCCGGGGCCACTGGCAAGGCCCTGCGACGCTGTGGAACTGAGTGGGTAAAAGGGAGATGGAGTCCTTTTATCAGATAAAATCAATTATTATGCTCACCCCTCCCCTTAAGAGAGAGGCAGCCAATTTCCACAGGTGAGGACTTTTCTACTCCCCGCGCTCAGACCGCGAGCCTGAAAGCATGCCAGCTGTGAGTCCTGCATCTCAGCAACCGCAAACCCAGCCCGGGGCCCAGAAGTTGGGGCTGAGGTTTCTCTAGAAGAGGTGACGCTTGTCCCAGGAACAGACTAAAATACGAGGCTGCTGACCCCGCGGGGTCTGGGACGTAACCCTCCCGCGTCCTCCTATGACCCGAGGCCACGAGAGGGCGGTCCGGGTGAGCAGGTCAGCGTCTGCTCATGCCCGTCTGCACAAGCCACTCCCGGCTCGGCTCACAGGAACAGTGAGGCATCCTGGCGCTCAACCCCGGGGTATCCTTACCTGACGCTGGGGCCGTAGTAAGCGCAGAAGCTCCCGGCGTCTGCACATTAACGCCAGCGCCATCTTGCCGGGAAGAGGACGTACGTTCGCGTCTGCGCACTGAGAACCGCAGCCTCGCGGGAGGAAGCCCTTTTGGAAATGGGCGTGAAGTCAGAGATTTACCACGCTCGGGAGGTAATGGAGACTGACGCTTGGCGGCCATATTTGAAGTGGGTAAGAAGCCGCAAAGGGAAATGAACGCTATTGCGCTGATATTGTTTTCAGGAGATGGAAGCTCAGAGCCTTATACCGGCTTTTGTTAGTGGCTGTAAATCCTGAGTAGTTTTTCCTCTATCCTTTAAACCCGCTATTCTCTAAAAAATACTCTCTAGGGGGTCTTGGCTATCCTCGATGTGGGTTTTCTGTACCCAGTGATGTTTGACTTTTGTTGGCTAGGTAATGTAATATACAGGGAAGGCTGGCGTGCTGCAGGCAGTCCGTGGGGTCGCAGAGTCGGACGCAACCGAACTACAACAAATATTGTAATTACAGTGCGTGCTAAGTTACTTTAATCGTGTCCGACTCTTTGCGACCCCATGGACTGTAGCCCACCTGGTTACTCTTCTCCATGGGATTCTTCAGGCGAGAATATTGGTGTGGGTTATTTCCTCCTCCAGGGGATCTTCCCAATTCAGGAATCGAACCGGTGTCTCTTATGTCTCCTGCATTGGCGGGCAAGTTCTTTACCACTGGCGCCGGCTAGGAAGCCCCTGTGATAACGGATTCAGTGAAATTTGATAATGGTCTGGAATTAGACAGAAATTGAAGGAAGGCAGCTTCTAGGAAATACTTTCCTTCCAGAGAAAGCTTCAAGAGGAGGCTCTATCTTGCGCTTTCCTTGGGGATTGATTGAGGAGCCTCTTGTGACATTGAGGGGACAAATCTTTTTAAAAAATATTTGTTTAGTTGCAGCATGTGAACTCTTAGTCAGGACATGTGGGATCTAGCTCCCTGACCAGGGATGAACCTTGGCCTTCTGTCTTGGGAGCAAGGAGTCTTAGCCATTGGACCACCAGCGAAGTCCCCTAGGGGACAAATCTTTAAAGATCAGAAGTGAACATGCTGAAGATGGTTGTATGGAAAGATAGAAAATCCCCTGGAAAATCCCCTGAATACTTGATGATGTTATTGAGCTGTTGCTGCAGCAGAGTTAGACCCACCTGTCTCTAGATTTTGTTGGGTAAGATAACTGATGGTCTTTATTATTGAAACCTTTATGACATTAATGACATGTTGGATGTCATTGTAAACAAGCTTTTAAAAGTTGCTTTGAAAAATTAATACAGAGGTAATGACAAATATACAGCTATAGAACACTTGGCAAAAAATCAAAAACCAGAAAACCACAAAACAAACCACCTGTGGTAGACTGTTACTTTGGTCAGTCAGTTCAGTCACTCAGTCATGTCTGACTCTTTGCGACCCCATGGACTGCAGCACCCCAGACCTCCCTGTCCATCATCAACTCTGGGAGCTTACTCAAACTTATGTCCATCGAGTCAGTGATGCTATCCAACCATCTCATTCTCTGTCTTCCCCTTCTCCTCCTGCCTTCAATCTTTTCCAGCATCAGGGTCTTTTCCAATGAGTCAGTTCTTCGCATCAGGTGGCTAAGGTATTGGAGTTTCAGCTTCAGCATCAGTCCTTCCAGTGAATATTCAGGACTGATTTCCTTTAGGATGGACTGGTTGGATCTCCTTGCAGTCCAAGGGACTCTGAAGAGTCTTTTCCAACACTACAGTTCAAAAGCATCAATTCTTTTGTGCTCAGCTTTCTTTATAGTTCAACTCTCACATCCATACATGACTGCTGGAAAAACCATAGACTTGATGAGATGGACCTTTGTTGGCAAAGTAATGTCTCAGCTTCTTAATATGCTGTCTAGGTTGGTCATAACTTTCCTTCCAGGGAGCAAGCATCTTTTAATTTCATGGCTGCAGTCACTATCTGCAGTGATTTTGGAGCCCAAAAGAGTAAAATCTGCCACTGTTTCCACTGTTTCCCTATCTATTTGCCTGAAGTAATGGGACCAGATGCCATGATCTTAGTTTTCTGAATGTTGAGCTTTAAGCCAACTTTTTCACTCTCCTTTTTCACTTCATCAAGAGGTTCTTTAGTTCTTCACTTTCTGCCATCAGGTTATGTCATCTGCCTATCTGAGGTTATTGATATTTCTCCAGCTTGGGCTTCATCCAGCCCAGCGTTTCTCATGATGTACTCTGTATGTAAGTTAAATAAGCAGGGTAACAATATACAGCCTTGACGTACTCCTTTTCCTATTTGGAACCAGTCTGTTGTTCCATGTCCAGTTAAATGTTGCTTCTTGACTTGCATACAGATTTCTCAAGAGGCAGGTCAGGTGGTCTGGTATTCCCATCTCTTTTTTTCCATAGTTTATTGTGATCCACACAGTCAAAGGCTTTGGCATAGTCAGTAAAGCCGAAATATATGTTTTTCTGTAACTCTTGCTTTTTCAGTGATCCAGCAGATGTTGGCAATTTGATCTCTGGTTCCTCTGCCTTTTCTAAAATTAGCTTGAACATTTGGAAGTTCATCATTCACATATTGTTGAAGCCTGACTGGAGAATTTTGAGCATTTCTTTACTAGCTTGTGAGATGAGTGCAACTGTGCGGTAATTTGAACATTCTTTGGCATTGCCTTTCTTTGTGACTGGAATGAAAACTGACCTTTTCCAGTCCTGTGGCCATTGCTGAGTTGTCCAAATTTGCTGGCATATTGAGCACAGCACTTTCATAGCATTATCTTTTAGGATTTGAAATAGCTCAACTGGAATTCCATCACCCCCACTAGCTTTGTTTTTAGTGATGCATTTTGGTAGCCCCAAATGAATCTTGCCTCTCAATTTTGCACCATTGATAGTTCCTTCTCTTGAATCTGAGCTGGCCTACCACTTGCTTTGGTCCTTAGAATTCATCCTAGGCCTATGCCGTTTGCGTGTGTGTTAGTTGCTCAGTCGTGTCTGACTCCTTGTGCTGTGTGTGTGTGTGTGTGTGTGTGTGTGTTAGTCGCTCTGTCGTGTCTTACTCTTTGTGACTCCATGGACTGTAGCTGGCCAGGCTTCTCTGTCCATGGAATTCTCCAGGCAAGAATACTGGAGTGGGTTGCTATTCCCTTCTCCAGGAACCGTCTCCACCCAGGGATCGAACTTGGGTCTCCCGTATTGCAGTCAGATTCTTTACCGACTGTATGCCTTAAGAAAACGTAATAGCTTCTACTTTTGCATTCACGGGGAGGTGGCATTGGACTTCCATGCTGTGTAAAGTGTAAAGCCCAACCTAACCACATGGAGGAACGCTGGCTGAGGGCTTGGCTAACAGCACCCACTGAGCTCCCAGCCAACAGTCACAACCAACTCTCCAGCCATGTGAAGAAGGTCATTTTGAAAGTGGCTTCTTCAGCCTCTACTGTAGCTGTTGATACTTTGGATAACTCTAAGTGGGGCAGAGATAGGCTGCCCAGCTCTTCCCAAGTTGCAGAATACAAGCAAATACAATGATTGTCATTTTAGCCACTAAGTTTTAGAGTACTTTGTTGTGTGGCAGTAGATAACTGAAATGAATTAAAATATTATGTGAATAGGTTTTTGTACTTGAGAAAACATTTTATTACCACTAAAGCTAACTGAGTTCTGCTTATATTAGTTTGCACTTATTTCTGACTTTTTTTCTGTGTGCTTTTATTTCCTTTTCATGAAAATTAGCCCTGTTTCCCCCCTCTAGATTATATAATTCTAGAGGCAGGGAGCAAGCCTCCTATCTTTTGCGCTTTTCCCCTCTCATCAAGGTTTGTTTTAGGACTTCTCTGGTGGTCCGGTGGCTAAGAATCTGCCTTCCAATGCAGGGGACTCAGGTTCAATCCCTGATCGGGGAACTGAATTCCCATGTGCAAAGCCTAAACACTACAACTAGAGTCCGCATCTTTTAGAACCCATTCTCTGAAACTAGAGAAGCCCTTGTGACCAGAGAAAACTCTTCCTTGAGCTGCAATGAAGACCTAGCATGACCAAAATTAAAGAAAAGGTTTGTTTTAATGGAACAAGTTCTGTGACAGACTTTTGGTCAAGTTGTTTCCATTAAAAAGTGCTGATTTTCATACATGCTGCTATATTTAAATAGATAAACAAGCACCTACTGTATAGCACAGGGAACGCTGCTCAATATTCTGTAGTTATCTAAATGGGAAAAGGAATTTGAAAAAGAATAGTTACATGTATAAGAATAACTGAATCACTTTGCTATACACCTGAAACTAACACAGCATTGTTTTTTTAAATTTTTTAAATTTTAATTTATTTTTTTTATTTTTATTTTTTTTCCATTTATTTTTATTAGTTGGAGGCTAATTACTTTACAACATTGCAGTGGTTTTTGTCATACATTGAAATGAATTAGCCATGGATTTACATGTATTCCCCATCCCTGTCCCCTCTCCCACCTCCCTCTCCACCCGATCCCTCTGGGTCTTCCCAGTGCACCAGGCCCGAGCACTTGTCTCATGCATCCAACCTGAGCTGGTGATCTGTTTCACCCTAGATAATATACATGTTTCGATGCTGTTCTCTTGAAACATCCCACCCTCGTTTGTGATGCAGTTTTATCATGAACTTTGTATTTTATTATTGAATGTAAATGGCCAATTGAGACAAACAGTTCTGAGACTATTCTTGCACCACTGATTAAGACTGGGGTGGCAGGTATTGGGGATAATATTCATTTAGTCTTTGGAGCTTTCTGGGAAGACTTGGTGACATTGCCAGCTCCAGCTGTGTTCTTGTCCACTGTTTTTATGACACAACCATCTATCTCATGTCATGGACAGTAAAAAATGACCCAGAGGAGGATAATCAGAGAAGCTCTCAACACACATGGGCTTACCAGAAACCATATCAATGATGGCAGCATCACCTGCTTCAAGAATTAGGGGCCACTTCCAGCTTTTCCTCAGAATGGACCATCAGTCTTCAGCTTAGTAAACTTGCAAGTGATGTGAGCTGTGTGACAGTCCAGCACAGGTCTGTATCCAGCACTGATTTAGCCTGATTGGTTCAAGATAATCACCTTGAGCTGTGAAGCCATCTACTTCCATTGGTGGGTTATTTTTGCTGTCACCAGCTGCATTGCCACAATGAATATTTTGACATCAAAATCCACATTGTCCCCAGGAAGGGAGTCACTCAGACTTTCATGATGCATTTCAACAGACTTTACTTCAGTTGTAACATTAACTGGAGAACACCAGTCTGCATTGGATATATAGGGACAGTACCAGTGCCACCAATTTTACAGATGTCTTAGAGGGGCAGATGCAAGGGCTGGTTAGTTGGAAAAATTGGTGGCAGGAGGCAGTCCAGAGCTTCAAGCAGCATGGTTCCACTGTCTTTGCCATCTTTACAGGTGAATTTCCAGTCCTTGAACCACGGTGTGTTAGCACTTGGCTCCAGCATGTTGTCACCATTCCAACCAGAAATTGGCACAAATGCTACTGTGTCAGGGTTATAGCCAATTTTCTTAATGTAGGTGCTGGCTTCCTTAATGGTTTCCTTGTAGTATCTCTTCTGGCTCTAGGGTGGCTCAGTAGAATCCATTTTGTTAACACTAATGATTAGTTGTTTAACATTCAGAATATAGGCCAGAAGGGCATGCTCACAGGTCTGCCCATTCTTGGAAATGACTGCTTCAAATTCATCAACACCAGCAACAACAATTGGGACAGCACAGTCAGACTGAGATATGTCTGCGATCATGTTGTTGATAGATAAGTCTTTGTGTTTGGGGGCATCAGTGTTGGTCACATAGTACGTGCTGGCTTCGAATTTCCTTGGGGAGATGTTAATGGTGATATCTCACGTTCAGCTTTCAGTTTATCCAAGACCCAGACATACTTGAAGGAGACCTCTCCCATCTCAGCAGCCTCTCTCTCAAACTTTTTGATGGTTCTTTGTCAATTCCACCACATTTGTAGATCAGATGGCCAGTAGTGGTAGACTTGCCTGAATCTACCTGTCCAATGACAGCAATGTGGATATGAGTCTTTTCCTTTCCCATTTTGGCTTAGATTTAGGGATGGTTTTTATGACACATGTTCCTGGTGGCACACCCTTTGTGAAAAAGCCTTTTGTGCCTGCTTTTTAAAAAATATAAAATTGCCTTTCATCTCGTTTATTTACTAAAAATAATTCTCTGTATTGTTTATTAATTTATTTTTTGGCTGTGCTGGGTCTTTGTTGCTGCTTATGGGCTTTCTCTTCATTGTGGTTTGAGGGCTTCTCACTGATGGCTTCCCTTGTTTGGGAGCACAAGCTCTGAACTAAGGCTTCAGTAGTTGTGGCATGGACTTAGTTGCCCCAAGGTAGGTGGAATCTTCCTGCACCCGGGATTGAAACTATACCCTCTGTATTGGCAGGAGGATTCTTAACCACTGGACCACTAGGGAAGTCCTAACTTGAGAACTTTTAATTTCCTCTTCTCTCCTCTGCTTGTATACATAATCTTTCTTCCCTGTATTGGAACAGACAGACAGACAGACAGACAGACAGACAGACACACACACACACACACACACCCCAAAAACCTTTGTTTGACTTTGATGGAACTCTTACCCTCTTTTCTGATCCTTTTATTGTTGCTCGTTTAAGAATGAAACTCCATTTTCTAAATGCACAGTCGCTCCTAGTTCTGCTCTCTTGACTCCTGTTCCTTCAGCTTCTGTCCCTGTGATTCAAATTACTCATTGAATAGCAGTCCTGGATTCTTAATCACAAGGCAAAAGTGTTTTTTTCCAGTCCTCCCTGTTTTAGCTTTTCTGTGGTATTTGACACTGTTGATCTCCCTTTTTTCTAAAACTCTGTTCTCTTGATTTTCATAGCACAACATATGATTTTCTTCTCATCTTTTTGCTCTAAACTTTTCAAAACAGTTTGGATGACTTAATGTCATTGAGCCTAATTTCCATTTCCATTTTGCAGTTTGAAGGGGTCATGAAGTGATTGTGGGTGTTACCAGAAGCCAGTTGCGGTTCATTAGGCTCTGTAGGATGATGTGCAGCGATGTCAAAGCTTCCTCATTTGGGAGTATAGGTATTTGATTGTGTCCAAGGCTGGTTAAAGTAACCAATCCTGTAAGAGATTAATGCTCCCTATGTAGTGTTTTCCCTAAACAGAGCTTACCTTTCCAATTCTATAATTCTCTGTTGCAGTCCTTCAATTTCTAATCTCACTGATAGATTAATTCCATTGCTGGGGCAATGGTCAAACTCTCTCTTCTGATTTTTGCTCTTCATTTCCTAATGGTGTGTGTTGATTTTACTTGTCGGGTTTTTAGAGTGCTGGAGGTGTTTGCTGCCACCTCCCAATGTTCAATGTGAGAAAAAAGCCCCACTTTCTTTGACGGGCTTTTATCCGTAAATGTAGGAGTTATTTAACATAATCTAAATTTTGAAAGGTAGAATGTTTCTTAGAGATTTTGTTTGTTGTTCAAGATGCAGAAAATAGAGCTCATTGTCTGAGAAGAATTGTCTCTCCATAAATAAAGAGCGATTACTTAAAAACATCCTACTGAGAAAAAACAACCTGGTCTTATAAACAATTTCTTTTTGTATTGTGCTGAGTTATAGGTGAACTTCTAGTTCTTACTATTGTTAGATCATGAAGCCTTGTGTGTTAGTCACTCAGTTGTGTCCAACAAATGAAAATGGAAAAGAGAGCTTTTACAACAAAGAAAATAGAAGCCTGAAGTTATTTCTCTGTGAACTTTAACTACTGTTTATTCCTGATTTTAAAAATGGCATATTTTAACAGAGCCTTAAAAATCCATCCCTGTTACTGTTGTTTACTTTGAGCTAACCATTTATTACTGAAACTTAAAGATTAAAAACTAGGGAGATTTCTCAACTTATGGTTCATAGCCTTTCTCTAATTTTCCCTCTTTCTTTTCTTATTTTGTACTGCCTTTCCCCTATAATTTGTTGTACTTGGGCACATTGTGAAGTCCAAACTCACAATCTACTTTTATTACATTATGAGGGAATTTCAGAATATAAGGTCACTTGGCTGGTAATAAGTAAATCAGGTCAAGAATTTAGCTTAGATCTCTGAATAGCCAAATGGAGAACAATTAGAATGTCAGAATTAATGATAGTAACACAATAATCCACTAACTAGAATAAGAATCTGTGAATGCATACTGATGTATACAAGTTAATGAATAAATATATAAAAGTAAGAATTTCCCCAGCAAGAACACTGGTGTGGGTTGCCACGCCCGCCTTCAGTGGATCTTTTCGACCTAGAGATCAAACCTGAGTCTCCTGTATTTCCTGCATTGTAGATGGATTCTTTATCATTGAACCACCATAACACTTTACCACGTCTTACCACCGGGAAGTCCCCTAAATGTATGTAATGGAAAGTAAATATTTAAAAGAAAGAATAATAAAGCAAATGGGGCAAAATGTAAACACTTGGTGGATCTTGGTGAATGTTGGAGTGCTTTGTATGAGTCTTGCAAATTTCCTGCAAACTTAAAATTATATCAAAATAAAAAGTTACCAAGTAAATACAATTCTGAAATTTGAGGGGTTAATTTTTTAAAGTAAAACCTTTAAAGAAGTATAGTAAGCATACAGAAGAGTGCAGACACCAAAAATATATAAGCAGATTCTTCAGTTTTATGAAGTGAAACCCTCCCACCCATGTAGTCATGATCCAGGTCAGGATCTAAAACTACCGACATTCTAGAAGCAACTCTTGTAGTCATTAGGCCATCCTTCCTCTGCAAGTGAGTGAGTGAGTGAAAGTCGCTCAGTTGTGTCCGACTCTTTGTGACCTGTGGACTATACAGTCCATGGAATTCTCCCAGTCATAATACCGAAGTAGGTAGTCTTTCCCTTCTCCAGGGGATCTTCCCAACCCAGGGATCAAACCCAGGTCTCCCGCATTGCAGGCAGATTCTTTACCAGCTGAGCCACAAGGGAAGCCCAAGATTACTGGAGTGGGTAGCCTATCCCTTCTCCAGGGATCTTCCCGACCCAGGAATCAAACCAGGGTCCCCTGCATTGCAGGTGGATTCTTTACCAGATGAGCTATCAGGGAAGCCCTTCCTCTGCAAAGGCAACTTTTATACAATTTCTATTGTCACAGATTAGTTTTGCCTCTTTTTCCATGTTATATAATGTTATATATGTTTCCATGTTATATATATATATAGAATCACACCGTATGATTATTTTTTGTGTGTGCTTATTTTTTTCCCAACATTTTGTTTGTGAGTCATTTCTTGATGCAAGTAGCTGTAATTAGTTTTCTTTAATATTTGACTGTATTTCATAGACCATAATTTATTTACCTGTTATACCACTGTTGGACACTTGAGTTGTGTGGTAGGCAGTCCCTAAGATGGCTGCTAGTAATCCTTACCTCCTTATTTATCACCTTGTGTAATCCTTTCTCCCTGAGTGTGAGCTAGATCCAGCGACTGGCTTCTAGTGAATAGGAAAAAAGTGATGGAATTTCACTTCTAAGATTAAGTTGTAAAAAGACTTGGCTTCCATCATGGGTTCTCTCTCAGTCTGCTTCAGTTCAGTTCAGTTGCTCAGTCATGTCTGACTCTTTGTGACCCCATGGACTGCAGCACGCCAGGCTTCCCTGTCCATCACCAATTCCTGGAGTTTACTCAAACTCATGTCCATTGAGTCAGTGATGCCATCCAACCATCTCATCCTCTATCATCCCCTTCTCCTCCCGCCTTCAATCTTTCCCAGCATCAGGGTCTTTTCCAATGAGTCAGTTCTTCATATCAGGTGGCCATAGTATTGGAGTTTCAGCTTCAGCATCAGTCCTTCCAATGAATATTCAGTACTGATCTCCTTTAGGATGGACTGGTTGGATCTCCTTGCAGTCCAAGGG